ACTGCACGTCTTTAGCAGAATCTATTATGTTTACTGCAAGCTTTAATTCCTTAGCTTTCCTCAGCATCTGTACAGTTCAGAGTAATATGTACTGTTTAGAAGGTGTTTAGATATAATAAATTAGTCATTTAGAAGTGTAATTAAATGTAACCATATTTCTCATAGCAAATTAGCTTTTGTAGGCATCTCTTGCTAAATAAATCAAGCCCTCTGAGAAATCGATTGGCCTTTGACACACAAATTTTTCAAAGTTTCTAACTTAGAACCAAATTCAATTAAAACAATACTTTACAACTTCTGTGGAAACCAGGCTACAAGTAATCAATTTTGGAGGGTTTCTGTTAGGAGTAGCCCTCATGAGATTTATTCACAAACTGGGCTCTAGGCTGCCTCACGAAGCAGCTAGGAGTTGGTTATCATGTATTTTTAAGTGAATTTAATTTTGGTGAGGAATTTTGATTGACAACAGCATGAAACCATGTCTTGTCTTGGGGTCTGTGTGTGTCTGTGTGTGTGTGTGTGTTTTAAGGAAAAGAAGAGGTATTTAATGGACCCTGCTTCATTTGGAGACCAAGAGAATATGAGCTGTAGACTTAGCCAACCTGGGCTCGTATCCCAGCTGTCGTTTCCTGGAGTGACCATTGGTAAGATGGGCATAGCTGAAGGGCCTTTGTCCTCCTGGCATTATGAGGTTAAATGAGAGCATGGAATGCATGTTCCCGGTGTCCGGGAGAATAAGCTCACACTAACTGTAAACTGCTGCTGCCCCGAGGTTATTCTCCTCGAAGATCACTTGAATAATCAGAAAAGGTTTCTAGAACAGTTTCCCTTTTTATGACAACTGAGAGCTGTAAGGATGGGCAGAGGTTGTGTGGTGCTCATTTCGATTTGTACTTAACTAGGGAATCCAGACCGACATCCCCCCACACCCAGAGCTTTACAAACAAACTCTTAGCGTCTCATCATGTCCCTGACCCGCCTCTAACCTAGATTCAAGAAAAGCACGTCTATTGTGTTTGATACCCAGTGAGCAAATGCCCCAAAGCCTTCATTCCTTCAAGTTAAGAATTCCTATAACCTAATCTCAAGCACATTAAGTCTCTTCAGTTTGCAGAGAAAGCAAGCCGATCACATGCATCCGTCAGCAGGGCACACTGCAGAGCATAATGTTTGGAGTAAAATGAGGCAAAATGCACTTAATAAAATTATAATCATATGGTGAGATTCTCAGGCAAGTTATTTACAGTCTTGATTAACCTTGCAACATTATCGCCATTTTCCTAGGTTTGACATAACAACACAAAAAGATTGCTTTAACATGGCAGGATTATCTTACCCCTGTTCTTTTATTTAGCCTTCACTTCTCTCCCTCACCCCAAAATTTCTAGCAGCTTGATCACGGAAAAGCAAAGCTGCTTCTGCTCAGTGGTGGTTAATTTCACGTGAGGGCTGTTTTCCTGGCACTAGTGCGTAACAACAGCGCCACCAAAAGGACGAGTTCCCTAGTTTCTAAAACCTGCTCCATTTCTTCGCTCAGCAGCCTATCAGCGTTTACATGATGGTTGCTGGCTGGACGCTGTGTGTCCAATATATGATATATTGCCATTTTAGGCTCTTTATACTTAATAGGTCTTAATTTTTTTTTCTGATCCACTGATTCATTAACTTCTCAGCTCTCTTTGGGTGTAATGAGTTTTCTTTTAATCCTCCTGAACTAAAAAGTTAGGGAGTTGATTATGCTAAGCTGCAGATAAATCAGATGAGCAGATGTTCTTACATAGCTACAGAAATGATATACGAGAAGTGATATTGGAGACAGTGTAATATCTGTGCTGTCAGGAGGAAATGTTGAAATGTGCAAGTTGCTCTGTGTTTGGTGACTATGAAAGACACCCATGAAGTAAGCTTCCCTTACTCCTTACTCTCAGAATACTGTCTATTATGTCTTACATCTGCTCAACGTTTAGAAACATAGCAAAACTTGTTTTCCTTCATTTTAAATATATAGTGACATGACATGAGAATGAAATCAAATGAATTTAATTTACGGTAAGGATCTAGTCAAATATTTCAAATAAATGTACTTCAAGACTCTTATTATTACTCTTCCTGCCATAAACTGAACAGGTGTATTCGCAAGCTGTATTAAACACGGTAACACCGTGGTTAGAGGGTGAACTGTGGAGTGAGACTGCCTGGGTTCAAAAACTGCCGCCACTGTTCCCTGGCTGGCATGACCTTGGGTTTACACCCAGAGTCTGAATCTCCTCTGCTGATGGATGGAGTTGTTAACCCCGGCTGTTTCACAGGACTGCTGTGAGGATC